GAACAAATCTAAGTGTTGACGACCAACATCCGGTTCAAGAAAGTTTATGTCTGTAAAATTAAACACCAAAACACATCCTATAGTTTGCACGTGCCCCACGATGAAGCTCCGACCACATGCTTAGGGTGTCATTCCTGACATTGACACCTTCCTGGAAGGTTAACTAATCTGTGGGTCCATACGTTTTGTCAATTCTATTGATTCTGCGTATCGATTTACTTGTTCTCCTTCATTTTTAGTGTGTGAATAGCATCTTCGGGCTATTTTCATGCTGTGAACAGGCAGATTGCAACGTTGAATATTTCAGTCTGTGATTAGCAGACTATGGAACAGGTACCTACAAACCCAAAATGTTGACGATCGACCCGTTCAGGGTGTCCCAGGGCAACGACAAGAGTACAGGATCGATTGATCCTAAACCCGGCTCTACGAAATTGAGCTCATACGGTGACTCAAATTGCTGCATACTTTCATCAGACTACTGGACTACGAGTTAGTGAGTGAGTGATTGAGTTGGGTTCTACGCCGCTTTTAACAGTATTCCAGTTATATCCCGGCGTGTCAGCTTAATGTGGGAGGAAAGCCCGAAGTGATGCAGGTCTCAGACAGTCACCACTTCGGTGAAACCCATGAGCACGGGTATGGTGCTGACAAACCTAGAAATATAATCGGGGCGAACCGGGATTCGAACCAAATAGGTTTCTGGCTTGCCAAAGGGACGCAACTCTGCACAGCGAATCGCGGCGCCATAGACGACTAGGCCACCCGTGCCCCCTATTGCCAACAGACGTCAGAGATATAGACAACGTCAAATTGGGGTAATCATCGTTGGTCACGTGTCATGTTTTCACATGAGTCTCGATTCACTTTGATAGGCATGATCGCGTCTGACTTCCTTGATATGCGTGGTCGTGTCTGGCGACGTCGAAAGTCAATATAAACCTGAGACCTCATGTCAGATTTGGGGGTTGATCGGTTGTGGTCTGGGGTGGTATCACTATAACTGAGCGAACCCCACTCCATATTGTGAAGGAAGGGTCACTGAACAGTACTATCGGGACAACATACTGTCACCCTTTTTCCCCGTTTGCAAGGCGTGTGGGTCGACGTTTCGTCTTTTAGGACGACAACGCTCGTGTTCACCATGCACGAATTGACAATGGTCTCCCCAAGCAGCACAACGTCCATAGTATGTCTGGCAGCACTGATTCATGACCTTTCCGTCACTGAACACGCCTGGGACATGATCGATAGGAAGACGTGTGCGTCATAGGTCGCAGACCACGTTGGCTGAACTTGGCCAGGCGCTGCAAGAAGAGTTGGACAGACTCCTTCAAATCGCCATTCGGAGACTCATACGCAGAAACACCTCGTCGAGTGAATGAAAGTTTGACAAATCGTGGCGGTATGACGCACGACTGATCCAAAAACGTCAACTTTGAAACTTTGGTCACATCTTACACCTAGCGGTCATAACATCCGCTGTTATACTAAAGTACGACAACTACCGGTTGTAATGTGAACCAAATTGGTTCATTACTATCATATACTAGTATAAGATAGCTGCGTGATAAATCGCAAAGAATAATGAAGAACGAAGCTTGGTCTACTCGTATTTCACGATAAAACATTGTTCTATCATGACGCCATTTCTCGAGACTCGAATATGCGCTCGAAACTTGATGACGTCATATACTGGACGATGTTATTTTTTAGAGGGAAGTGTCTAGTAAGTTCTTCCCATAGATGTAGGTGGGCTACGCAAGTAAACGCAGTGGCCGAACAATCGCATCCAAAAAGCGGGAGAGATATGACAATCGGTATTGGGAGTAAAAGGTACAGATAATCGACGTGAGAATATGCGGGTAATACCAAACTGAACCCCATCTGTTCGTAAAATGGACTTGTCCGACATTTCCTTTGTCGGAATCTATTCAGAGAGGCATCATTATTATAATTTTGGTAAATATGTTTTAAGCTGGTACATTTTATCAGCATCCTTAAAGATGCACCCTCATGGTTTATTCTCCCTGCAGTGTTTTATTGTACGATAAACAACTCTTACTCGTCGTTTATTTCTTAAACACTGTACAACTCTTACTAGCAACTAATATCTCATACAGTTTTGGAAATTTTAAGTTATGTCCGAGTATATAATGTTTTGCCATGGCCTGCATGTTCATCTGACATGAACCCCACCGAACATTTGAGAGGTCATCTTTACAGGCAAGGCAGAAGGCGACCGGTACCGACGGTCAGTCGTGAGGAACTGGAGCGATGTAAATATACTAGCATATGAAGACAAAAACCAATCCACACTCTAGCATCTTATAGGTAATTAACTGTAAGTGACGTGAAAGCAAGGGAGAGAGGCGAGTCTGTAGATTCACATCCCTATATAACCTTACAGGATGTCTAGGAGGATTTTGTGTAAGATTTTTATGTTTTTGAAATAAACATCCATCCTGTAATTAAAACTATCCATGTTTTTCTGTATTTAGTGCTGTCTTTTTCAACGTGATGACTCATGCTTAATGTGACCACGGATACTTTGAAGCAAGTGACATTTGGTGCGGAACTGGGAGTAATGTGTTTAGCTTCCGGTACTCGGAAAAGGAGCTGGCTCACCTAGTCAATTTCGTTGTTTTTATTGCTGCTCTAAGGCCAAACTGTGCACACACGTAGAGGTAATAGCTTTTTAATGATTAATTATTTTTAAAATAAATATAACGTGACTAAAGGAGTCAATGGGAAAACATTTGTTTGTGTGTAACCTCTAAAGGCTCAACAATTATTTCCCTTTGTTATGAACACAACATGCCGCTAGGATAAAGTAGATTCCTTTGAAAAAGGACGAAAAAACATTTATCATGAAATAAACTTGATTATTAATCATATGAAAAAAGCAGTCTCTTCATCACTTATCTCAGAAAGATGACCAAACATAAATAACGGGAGCATAGCACGGGTGAGTGAGTGAAATGTTAATAACGTCGAAGATAAACTAACGGGCAAAAGAAACGCCAACAAACAATTTTCTGGTCTAAATCAAAACACACGCAAAATTTAGTAACAGTTGATGTTTTATTATGAAAAAAACACAATTATTCAAAAACGGTACACGTTTATCATGCTGGGTGCACTGTCCAGTATTCGATCGCACCCGCAGAATCGACGCCGATCTCTTTTCAAGTCCCGTGCTACACACATGGCTCAGTATCGAATGTGGCTCCCTATAGCCACGATGCAGGCCCTAACATGACGTCGAACTGAGTACACGAGTCTCCTGACATCACCATTAGGGACCCTACGCCATTCTTCCTGCAGGACAATTGCCAAGGCATCCCTCGTCAATGGCGGGTTTGAGGTTTCCGAATCCTGCGTCCAAGGTGCTCTATGAGCAACAGGTCCGGTGATCTGGCTGGCCACTGTAATACGGTCACATTGTTGGTGTTCAGAAAGTCGACAGTGACTCGAGCTGTGTGAGGGGTGGCGTTGTCCTGCTGAAGCAGCGTCCGTGGGTGTCGTTGCAGGAAAGGCAGTACCACAGGCTGCAAAACCTCATCAATGTTACAACGTGCAGCGATATTTTCGTCGATGATAACCAGATCTGTCTTCTGGTCCCCGCAGATGCCACCCCAGACCATGACCTACCACCTCCATAAGGCTCCACTTCTTGGACGCAACAACGTGCCGTACGTTCACTATGCCGTCGGTAGATTCGAACCCGCCCATCAGACTTGAAAAGCTGGAACCTACTCTCGTCGCTGAAGAGCCCTGGCCCATCTCAGTCTGTGACGTCGGTGTAGAAACGTTAACGTCATGCCCTTGAAAGTTCGATAGGCACGAGTGAGTATGGTTTTACGCCGCTTTTAGCAATATTCCAGCAATATCACGACGGGGGACACCAGAAATGTGTAAAATTAATAATCGAAAAGAGAGCATTTCACCATAACACCATATATGTGAGTATATGTGTGTCTCGGTTTGTGTGCGTGTGTGAGTATGTGTGCGTAAGTGTGAATGCGTGTGCATATATTGGAGCGATCAAACCGCATGTTGTGTGAATTGCTTCCACATGTCGTCTGGCCTTGATTAGTTTGAAAAAAAGTAAAAGCTACCAACATCTCATGATTTGGTTCGGTATGACTTCGAAGAATTCAACCATGTAGTAAACAATACCGATGGTAAGTATTCTATAGCATCGATAGATGTAAAGATAACTTGGGAACATGTGGTAAAAAAAGGGACATCACTGAAGGTCCTATTTGGAAATGTCCTCCACATCAAACGTTCTTAAACCTCTACATGAGTCCTTGATGGTTTTAACCTTGATCAAACACCAATAGTCGTAAAACATAAAATAATGTTTCTTGTTTGACGAGACTCGTGACGCGCTATACTTTTGTTAGAGAATAGAAGTAGTAATATTTCCCTCACTGAACATGCAATGCATTTTCCTCGAAAGCTGGAGCCGAAGAATCTTTTCAATTGTTCAAAATACATTTTTTGAGGCCATCAAGTATATCTGCGAAAATAGATGCCCTTGTCTTTAATTGTATGCGATCACACATGGAAGAGTCGACGAGGCAGTGAAGAAACCCTATTTTGGTATTGCGTGTATTATGTTATTGTGTGTATTATATTAATATAAAGCTCATGGCAACGATCCTATTTAAAGTATTGTTATTATCCACTGCACGTAGATCACATGTTAATTTCCTTATGCGTGGAGTATATTTTGAGTGAGTGAGTGTGTGAGTGAGTGAAAAGGGACATAGTGCTGACAAGCCGATGACCACAATCAGGACAAAGGTATGTTTTGAAGCCAACATTGTCGGATCATGCCATGCCGAAGGCTCACAAGTGCTGCGAATAGCTTCAGGCGATTGGGCCTCCTGTGTCCCCATACACCGGCTACATCAATATTACTAAGCAATCGTATATCTCCTGTTAAAATATCACATAATAATTTGTCATTTCATGAAAAACAACTTAAATTTGAACTTGTGTATACTTTAATCAATGAAAGCTACAGAGCATATTTTCTGTAATATATTGACGATCATTCATACGTGATTTGAACGTTGACGTCAGTGATGTCATTACCCACGTCAGCAGATACACGCAGGTACAGCGACGGTGACCCAGATGGAAGCTGATATCTCAACTCGCCTGTCGCCATGGCTAGTGGGGCGGGTGATTCCAGGTTGTCGTACACGGCCATGTTGATGGAGTTGCCTTGTGACGTCACAACGACGTGGGTTGCTCCCGATGGAGGCGTCAACATAAACACGGGACGATGGGAGGAGGAAACAGTGAGACCAGTCAGGGTCTCGCTGTCAGATAACGTCTCCATAAAGGTCGGCTCCTGACACCCACTGAAAGTGATTCCTACCACCTGGAAGGATTTTTTTACCTCCAGATAGTCGTAGCCGAGGTCGTAGCAAGCACGCATGACGCCACAAGCGCCTTCCTCAAAGGTCGTTGATCGGCCCCAGTAGATGACGTTAGCTCTGAGGAAGCATTCGAACGCTTTTCTGATGGGCATTTTGTTGACCTCCACGAGCTGGTAGAAGGCGTGGTTGAAGATGCCGCTGCTGTAGTGAACGTCGACGTTGTTGTTGTAGTCTCTGGTGTGCTTGAGTGAACCCCCGTCTCGAGAAGGATCTTGAAAGTAACGTAGGGCCCCATTGCTGCTTTTAAAGATTTCAGCTCCAACGAACCAGTCGTTAGAGCCACGAGCAAACATCTCAGTTGTCTCCCCTGTTATGTCCGAGAAGGCTTCGTTGATACCACCAGACTGATCGTCGTAGATGAGGTTGGAGTTTTGTTCGGTGACACCATGGGCAAGTTCATGAGCAATAACGTCTTGGTTAACCAGTGGGTAGAAAGTTCTTCGACCATCGCCGAAAGTCAGGCTGCTTCCGTCCCAGAAGGCGTTCTCGTAGTTACTGCTGTAGTGAACAAAGAGGACTGGCTTGAAGTTGAGGGGAGTCATCGTGTACCATTCGATAAACATACGGGCTGATTTGGTGCCAAAGTTCATAGCGTCCAGGACGGGGGAGTAAGCACCGTTGATGGCGTCGTCATAACCGTTGGCACATGTGTAGGAAGAGGCGGCGCGGTTGTTCCTATTTGTACCCTGGTTTAAGTCCACCACTTTGACGTAGGCGTTTTCCAGAGTGCATGTGGCGCCACTGACGGTGGTGTTGAGGCACAAAGGAGGAACGCCATACACGAACTTTCCAACTTTAAGGTTTCCACCCTCCCCTTTAGCAGGATTGCCGCAGGTTGTTGGGCCTGCTGTTGTTGGTGCGGCTGTAGTTGGTCTTGGTGTTGTTGGTGCGGCTGTAGTTGGTCTTGGTGTTGTTGGTGCGGCTGTAGTTGGTCTTGGTGTTGTTGGTGCGGCTGTAGTGGGGCCTGCTGTTGTTGGTGCGGCTGTTACGGATTCTTGAGTTTGTGGGTCTCCGCCACAACTGTCAGTTGTAGTTTCTGGTTCAGGTGTGGTGTTCTCGCCAGGACACTCATCATCCCCAGGAGACTGTCTTCGGTGTCGTACAACAGCTTGACGTCTCTCTACTGCTTTGTTCTGGATGTTGTTGAAGGAACGGACAGTGGTAAGGTCACAGGCGTCGATAAAGTAGCAAGGACGGCTGGGTCTGTTGCCCTTCATGTAAAAGAAGTTGATCTCATAGGTCAGACGAGCCACGCCGTCTTTTTTGACGTAGACGTTCTTCTTGACGTTGACTTTGGTGACTTGAGACGCTCGGACCCCCTCCTTTGTGAAAGCTACCCTCTTGACGGTGTCATGTGTCTGCTCACAATCCTCAGGGTTGGGAATATCTTCCTCCAGTGATGTGAAAAGTTCACCGCTGACGACGCCTGTGTAACCAAGGCTAGGGTTGACGTCGGCGGCCACGCTCCCTCCCACTACTTCCAGACCCCCATAGGTCTGCTGTAGACGTTGCTTGATCTTGCCTCGCACTGTCTTGAGGGATTCCCCGGGGACGATAGCGCTTATGCCACGAAGCCCCAGCTCTGCACGCAGTTCCTCACGAGTGGCATGGAAATGAGACCGAAGCTTCAAACGTCGAGTGACGCCAGCAACGTTAAATCGACGTGCGGCCTCAGTCGTGTACATTGTGAGGGACAGCAGTCCTGAAAAACCAAGAAAAGTAGAATATATCAGAAAATATATTTGCAACCTCAAAATGATATTATATGAAACACGTTTTTCATTCCTTTCTAATTTTCAGTCTGAATGCAATTTGATTGAAATTAATAACATTGCAATTAATATCTAGTCAGCGAAATTGTACGATGGATGCAATTTATTCTGATAGAGAAAGTCCCCGTTCCAAAACCATTACTTGGCGCATATATGTGTCTTAATATAATGTTGAAATTACTTACCCAGTAGGATGATTTGACACTTCATGTTGTCCTCAAGTGTATGAGATGACCAGTGACCAGTAGCCTGGACTTATATACACCATGGACATCTCGACACTCGCACCTGTCCTCATATTAATTTGTCCGAGAACAATGCATAATATCATAACCCCAGGACATAATCTCAAACGCCACACTCCGTTCTTGTACTACAAAGCACAAAGATACTCGATACATAAGACACGTGCGGATTACATAAGTTTCTCATCATTTGAACGTGCTGGTGGAAAATATATATGCAATCATTACTTGTTATCTCTAAACATCAGCAACATAGTGTAAACACTGTCAGCGGGTGTGCCTTGTTTGCAAAACAATGTTTCTAACCTATCTCAGATCCCGGGGTACACGGGCGGCCCAGTCGTACCGTACCTCGTTGTGCAGAGCTTCGTAACAGAGTCACACCAAAAAACTAAAATAGGGTTCGAATCTCAGATACGTTTTGATATGTTACTCGGTTTGTCGGCACCATACCAGTGCTCGTCGGTTTCACCAAAGTGGAAAACGTCTAGGACCTTCACTTCAGGATTTCCTCCCACATCAAGCTGACACGATGCAACATAACAGAAGATGTTGAAACTGACGAACATCCCAAGTCACTCTATCTTTAGTCACTTAGCTATATAAAAACCTGTATAAAGGGGTTAACCATTGGTACTACTATAGGACAATAAACGACGGTTGTTAATAACCTTGAATATAGGCCAGTGCACGAGAATATGATGAAATTTAAACAGAGGATGTATGACTGTCTTTCTCAAAACTGGCATCTCTCCATAGAGCTCTCATCTAAATGCAAATATTACTCACAGTACAAATCTCTCCTTAATGTAGAAAAATACTTATTATCATGTGAAATATCTCCTTATCATAAAAGATTAATATGTATGTTCAGGTGTAACAACTTTAAACTTGCAGTTGAAACTGGAAGACATTCTAAAATCCCATATGAAGAACGTGTGTGCGTGTATTGCCACTCCAAAGGTTTAACTCTAATTGAGGATGAGTATCATATATTGTCAATCTGTGACAGATACTGAGCTGCAAGAAGAGAATGCTTTGCTGAAAGTGAAATCAACTTTACCACATTTCAACAGTTTTTAAACCTTATGTCAAAAAACTCCACAAGAACTTTAAAATACATTGGACTATTCCTATCTAAAGTTATGAATATACTTAACTCATCACTATTCTAACGTATTCTAAAACTATTTGTCTTAACATAACACCATAGTATATAAGCATGTATGATCTACATTATATCAATATGTATTATGGGCTGGAGGCCTGATTACTGAATAAATGTGTCTGTCTGTCTGTCTGTACGAGAATAGTCTATCATCACGAACGTTGCAGACAAAACGAGGATGGTCTATAAGCTTGAAAATTGGACAATACACCTGGATGGTATATAAGCTTGAAGATTGGTCGATAAACGAGGGTAGTGTGTAAGCTTGAAGATTGGACAATACACGTGGATGGTCTATAAGCTTGAAGACTGGACAATAAACGTGGATGGTCTATAAGCTTGAAGGCTACACAATAAACGAGGATGATCTATAAGCTTGAAGATTGGACAATAAACGTGGATGACCTATACGCTTGAAGATTGGACAAAAAACGTGGATGGTCTATAAGCTTGAAGGCTACACAATAAACGAGGATGATCTATAAGCTTGAAGATTGGACAATAAACGAGGATGGTCTATAAGCATGAAGACTACACAATAAACGAGGATGGTCTATAAGCTTGAAAATTGGACAAGAAACGAGGATGGTCTATAAGCTTGAAGATTACACAATAAACGAGGATGGTCTATAAGCATGAAGATTACACAATAAACGAGTATGGTCTATAAGCATGGAGACTACACAATAAACGAGGATGGTCTATAAGCTTGAAGATTGGACAATAAACGAGGATGGTCTATAAGCTTGAAGACTACACAATAAACGAGGATGGTCTATAAGCTTGAAGGCTACATAATAAACGAGGATGGTCTATAAGCTTGAAGATTGGACAAAAAACGTGGATGACCTATAAGCTTGAAGATTGGAGGATAAACGAGGATGGTCTATTAGGATGAAGATTGGGCAATAAACGAGGATGGTCTATAAGCTTGAAGACTACACAATAAACGAGGATGGTCCATAAGCATGAAGATTGGACAATAAACGAGGATGGTCTTTAAGCATGAAGATTGGACAATAAACGAGGATGGTCTCTAAGCTTGAAGGCTACACAATAAACGAGGATGGTCTATAAGCATGAAGATTGGACAGTACACGAGGATGGTCTATAAGCATGAAGATTGGACAATAAACGAGGATGGTCTATAAGGGTGAAGATTGGACAATAAACGAGGATGGTCTTTAAGCATGAAGATTGGACAATAAACGAGGATGGTCTATACGCTTGAAGACTACACAATAAACGAGGATGGTCTATAAGCTTGAAGGCTACACAATAAACGAGGATGGTCTATAAGCATGAAGATTGTACAGTACACGAGGATGGTCTATAAGCATGAAGATTGAACAATAAACGAGGATGGTCTATAAGCATGAAGATTGGACAATAAACGAGGATGGTCTATAAGCATGAGGATTGGACAATAAACGAAGATGGTCCATAAGCATGAAGACTACACAATAAACTAGGATGGTCTATAAGCATGAAGATTGGACAATAAACGAGGATGGTCTATAAGCATGGAGACTACACAATAAACGAGGATGGTCTATAAGCTTGAAGGCTACACAATAAACGAGGATGGTCTATAAGCATGAAGATTGAACAGTAGACGAGGATGGTCTATAAACATGAAGATTTGACAATAAACGAGGATGGTCTATAAGGGTAAAGATTGGACAATAAACGAGGATGGTCTTTAAGCATGAAGATTGGACAATAAACGTGGATGGTATATACGCTTGAAGGCTACACAATAAACGAGGATGGTCTATAAGCATGAAGATTGGACAGTACACGAGGATGGTCTATAAGCATGAAGATTGAACAATAAACGAGGATGGTCTATAAGGGTGAAGATTGGACAATAAACGAGGATGAGCTTTAAGCATGAAGATTGGACAATAAACGAAGATGGTACATAAGCATGAAGACTTCACAAAAAACTAGGATGGTCTATAAGCATGAAGATCTGACAGTACACGAGGATTGTCTATAAGCATGAAGATTTGACAATAAACGAGGATGGTCTATAAGGGTGAAGATCTGACAGTACACGAGGGTTGTCTATAAGCATGAAGATTGGACAATAAACGAGGATGGTCTATACGCTTGAAGGCTACACAATAAACGAGGATGGTCTATAAGCATGAAGATTGTACAGTTCACGAGGATGGTCTATAAGCATGAAGATTGAACAATAAACGAGGATGGTCTATAAGCATGAAGATTGGACAATAAACGAGGATGGTCTATAAGCATGAAGATTGGACAATAAACGAAGATGGTCTTTAAGCATGAAGATTGGACAATAAACGAGGATGATCTATACGCTTGAAGACTACACAATAAACGAGGATGTCTATAAGCTTGAAGGCTACACAATAAACTAGGATGGTCTATAAGCATGAAGATTGGACAGTACACGAGGATGGTCTATAAGCATGAAGATTGAACAATAAACGAGGATGGTCTATAAGCATGAAGATTGAACAATAAACGAGGATGGTCTATAAGGGTGAAGATTGGACAATAAACGAGGATGGTCTTTAAGCATGAAGATTGGACAATAAACGAAGATGGTCCATAAGCATGAAGACTTCACAATAAACGAGGATGGTCTATAAGCATGAAGATTGGACAGTACACGAGGATGGTCTATAAGCTTGAAGATTTGACAATAAACGAGGATGGTCTATAAGGGTGAAGATTGGACAATAAACGCGGATGGTCTTTAAGCATGAAGATTGGACAATAAACGAGGATGGTCTATACGCTTGAAGACTACACAATAAACGAGGATGGTCTATAAGCTTGAAGATTGGACAAAAAACGTGGATGACCTATAAGCTTAAAGATTTGACAATAAACGAGGATGGTCTATAAGCATGGAGATTGGAAATAAACGAGGATGGTCTATAAGGATGAAGGTTGGACAATAAACGTGGATGGTATATAAGCTCAAAGACTACACAATAAACGAGGATGGTCTATAAGCCTGAAGGCTACACAATAAACGAGGATGGTCTATAAGCATGAAGATTGGACAGTACACGAGGATGGTCTATAAGCATGAAGATTTGACAATAAACGAGGATGGTCTATAAGCATGAAGATCGCACAATGAACGTGGATTGTCTATAAGCTTGAAGAGTGGACAATAAACGAGGATTGTCTAAAAGCAACCCTGGTTAAGATACAGACACTAAAAATCTAAGATACAAATTAAACGCAACCAATATTATAAAATTTACAAAAAGTCTACCAAAAAAATAAAAATATGAATAAGTTAAATATTTTTTAAAGAAACAATTATTGAAAGATAACAAATTCTAAGAAAAAGATCCTTAATAGATGATGAATCTTTGAACTACAGTAGGTTAGGGTTATAAGGGACTCCAAGGGGCCACTTATATCAGTACGTTATAACCGTAGTTTGTTATAAGCACATGCAGTAAATGTACAGGAAATGATCGGAACAAACAAATAGGTTCGTTATAACCGTCAGTTCGTTATACACGTAGTTTACTGTATTCTGATACTGAAATGAGGTGTAACGTTGCACAAATCGTATCACTGGCTATCCATTGGCAGGAGAAAGGAACTATATTTTTATCCTTTAACTAGTTGAGGTTAGTTTTGTTTAATTGGTTGTTTGTTTTCATTTTCATTTTTCTGTATATTCGATGATAAACTGGACACAATTAAGTCATACAAAACCATGCCACAAACATGTGAAATTAAATTAAGAGTCTAATGTCATGCATAAGGACCCATTGCTTCATATCAACCAGTGATTGGGAATTGACAAATTGGTTAGAAAACCCTACCCTCATGTGTAAAATTAATAAAACATAAGAGTGAGTGAGTATGGTTTTACGCCGCTTTTAGCAACATTCCAGCAATATCACGACGGGGGACACCAGAAATGGGCTTCACACATTGTAACCATATCGGGAATCGAACCCGGGTCTTCGGCGTGACGAGCGAACGATTTAACCACTAGGCTACCCGCCCGCCCTAATACATAAGAGTATATTTAACCATGACACCACATGTGTGAGTATGTGTGTGTCATGGTTTGTGTGCGCGCGTGCGTGAGTATGTGTGCATAAGTGTGAATGCGTGTGCGTATATTGGAGCAAACAAACCGCACGTTGTGTGAGTTGCTTCCAAATGTCGTCTGGCCTTGATTAGTTTGAAAAAAGTAAAAGGTACCAACATCTCATGATTTGGTTCGGTATGACTTCGAAGTATTCAACCATGTAGTAAAAAAACCGATGGTAAGTATTCTATAGCATCGATAGATGTAAAGATAACTTGGGAACATGTGGTAAAAAAATGGACATCACTGAAGGTCCTATTTGGAAATGTCCTCCACATCAAACGTTTTTAAACCTCTACATGAGTCCATGATGGTTTGAACCTTGATCAAACAGCAATAGTCGTAAAACATAAAAACACGTTTCTTGTTTGATGAGACTCGTGACGCGCTATATTTTTGTTAGAGAATAGAAGTAAAAATATTTCCCTCACTGAACATGCAATGCCTTTCACTCGAAAGCTGGAGCCGAAGAATCTTTTCAATTGTTCAAAACACATTTTTTTGAGGCCATCAAGTATATCTGCGAACATTGTTTTTTTCAATTTTAAAGCAATTTCTGTATTAAGTAATCAAAAAATAGATGCCCTTGTCTTTAATTGTATGCGAACACACATGGAAGAGTCGACGAGGCAGTGAAGAAACCCTATTTTGGTATTGCGTGTAATATGTTAGTGTGTGTATTATATTAATGTAAAGCTCATGGAAACGATCCCATTTAAAGTATTGTTATTATCCACTACACGTAGAGTGAGTGAGTGAGTGAGTGAGTGAGTGAGTGAGTGAGTGAGTGAGTGAGTGAGTGAGTGAGTGAGTGAGTGAGTGAGTGAGTGAGTGAGTGAGTGAGTGAGTGAGTGAGTGAGTGAGTGAGTGAGTGAGTGAGTGAGTGAGTGAGTGAGTGAGTGAGTGAGTGAGTGAGTGAGTGAGTGAGTGAGTGAGTGAGTGAGTGAGTGAGTGAGTGAGTGAGTGAGTGAGTGAGTGAGTGAGTGAGTGAGTGAGTGAGTGAGTGAGTGAGTGAGTGAGTGAGTGAGTGAGTGAGTGAGTGAGTGAGTGAGTGAGTGAGTGAGTGAGTGAGTGAGTGAGTGAGTGAGTGAGTGAGTGAGTGAGTGAGTGAGTGAACAAACAGGGACATGGCGCTTACAAGTCGATGATCCCAATCAGGGCGAAGCTATGTTTTGAAGCCAACATTGACGGATCATTCCATGCCGAAGGCTCACAAGTGCTGCGAATAGCTTCAGGCGATTGGGCCTCCTGTGTCCCCATACACCGGCTACATCAATATTACTAAGCAATATTATATCTCCTGTTAAAATATCATGATGATAATAATTTTTTCATTTCATGAAAAACAACTATAATTTGAACTTGTATATACTTTAATCAATGAAAGCTACAGGGCATTTTTTCTGTAATGTATTGACGATCATTCATACGTGATTTGAACGTTGACGTCAGTGATGTCGTTACCCGATTCAGCAGATACACGCAGGTACAGCGACGGGGACCCAGATGGAAGCTGATATCTCAACTCGCCTGTCGCCATGGCTAGTGGGGCGGGTGATTCCAGGTTGTCGTACACGGCCATGTTGATGGAGTAACCTTGTGTAGGTGACGTCACAACGACGTGGGTTGCTCCCGATGGAGGCGTCAACATAAACACGGGACGATGGGAAGAGGAGACGGTGAGACCAGTCAGGGTCTCGCTGTCAGATAGCGTCTCCATAAAGGTCGGCTCCTGACACCCACTGAAAGTGATTCCTACCACCTGGAAGGATTTTTTTACCTCCAGATAGTCGTAGCCGAGGTCGTAGCAAGCACGCATGACGCCACAAGCGCCTTCCTCAAAGGTCGTTGATCGGCCCCAGTAGATGACGTTAGCTCTGAGGAAGCATTCGAACGCTTTTCTGATGGGCATTTTGTTGACCTCCACGAGCTGGTAGAAGGCGTGGTTGAAGATGCCGCTGCTGTAGTGAACGTCGACGTTGTTGTTGTAGTCTCTGGTGTGCTTGAGTGAACGCCCGTCTCGAGAAGGATCTTGAAAGTAACGAAGGGCCCCATTGCTGCTTTTAAAGATTTCAGCTCCAACGAACCAGTCGTTAGAGCCACGAGCAAACATCTCAGTTGTCTCCCCTGTTATGTCCGAGAAGGCTTCGTTGATACCACCAGACTGATCGTCGTAGATGAGGTTGGAGTTTTGTTCGGTGACACCATGGGCAAGTTCATGAGCAATAACGTCTTGGTTAACCAGTGGGTAGAAAGTGCTTCGACCATCGCCGAAAGTCAGGCTGCTGCCATCCCAGAAGGCGTTCTCGTAGTTATTGCTGTAGTGAACAAATAGGACTGGCTTGAAGTTGAGGGGAGTCATCGTGTACCATTCGATAAACATACGGGCTGATTTGGTGCCAAAGTTCATGGCGTCCAGGACGGGGGAGTAAGCACCGTTGATGGCGTCGTCATAACCGTTGGCACATGTGTAGGAAGAGGCGGCGCGGTTGTTCCTATTTGTACCCTGGTTTAAGTCCACCACTTTGACGTAGGCGTTTTCCAGAGTGCATGTGGCGCCACTGACGGTGGTGTTGAGGCACAAAGGAGGAACGCCATACACGAACTTTCCAACTTTAAGATTTCCACCCTCCCCTTTAGCAGGATTGCCGCAGGTTGTTGGGCCTGCTGTTGTTGGTGCGGCTGTAGTTGGTCTTGGTGTTGTTGGTGCGGCTGTAGTTGGTCTTGGTGTTGTTGGTGCGGCTGTAGTTGGTCTTGGTGTTGAAGGTGCGGCTGTAGTGGGGCCTGCTGTTGTTGGTGCGGCTGTTACGGGTTCTTGAGTTTGTCGGTCTCCGCCACAACTGTCAGTTGTAGTTTCTGGTTCAGGTGTGGTGTTCTCGCCAGGACACTCATCATCCCCAGGAGACTGTCTTCGGTGTCGTACAACAGCTTGACGTCTCTCTACTGCTTTGTTCTGGATGTTGTTGAAGGAACGGACAGTGGTAAGGTCACAGGCGTCGATAAAGTAGCAAGGACGGCTGGGTCTGTTGCCCTTCATGTAAAAGAAGTTGATCTCATAGGTCAGACGAGCCACGCCGTCTTTTTTGACGTAGACGTTCTTCTTGACGTTGACTTTGGTGACTTGAGACGCTAGGACCCCCTCCTGTGTGAAAGCTATCCTCTTGACGGTGTCACGTGTCTGCTCACAATCCTCAGGGTTGGGAATATCTTCCTCCAGTGATGTGAAAAGTTCACCGCTGACGACGCCTGTGTAACCGAGGCTGGGGTTGACGTCGGCGGCCACGCTCCCTCCCACTACTTCCAGACCCCCATAGGTCTGCTGTAGACGTTGCTTGATCTTGCCTCGAACTGTCTTGAGGGATTCCCCGGGGACGATAGCGCTTATGCCACGAAGCCCCAGCTCTGCACGCAGTTCCTCACGAGTGGCATGGAAATGAGACCGAAGCTTCAAACGTTGAGTGACGCCAGCAACGTTAAAGCGACGTGCGGCCTCAGTCGTGTACACTGTGAGGGACAGCAGTCCTGAAAAACCAAGAAAAGTAGAATATATCAGATATCTATTTGAAACCTCAAAGTGATATTATATGAAACACGTTTTTCATTCCTTTCTAATGTTCACTTTGAATGCAATTTGTTTGACATTAATAACGTTGCAATTAATATCTAGTCCGCGAAATTGTACGATGGATGCATTTATTCTGATAGAGAAAGTCCCCGTTCCAAAACCATTACTTGGAGCATATATGTGTCTTAATATAATGTTGAAATTACTTACCCAGCAGGATGATTTGACACTTCATGTTGTCCTCAAGTGTATGAGATGACCAGTGACCAGTAGCCTGGACTTATATACACCATGGACATCACGACACACGCACCTGTCCTCATATTAATTTGTCCGAGAACAATGCATAATATCATAACCCCAGGACATAATCTCATACGCCACACTCCGTTCTTGTACTACAAAGCACAAAGATACTCGATACATAAGACACGTGCGGATTACATAAGTTTCTCATCATTTGTACGTGCTGGTGGAAAATATATATGTAATCATTACTTGGTATATCTAAACATCCGCAACATAGTGTAAACACTGTCAGCGGGTGTGCCTTGTTTGCAAAAATATGTTTCTGGCCTATCTCAGATCCCGGGTTACACGGGTGGCCCAGTCGTACCGTACTTCGTTGTGCAGAGCATCGTAACAGAGTCACACCAAAAAAATAAAATAGGGTTCGAATCTCAGATACGTTTTGATATGTTACTCGGTTATCGGCACCATACCAGTGCTCGTCGGTTTCACCAAAGTGGTAAACGTCTAGGACCTTCACTTCAGGATTTCCTCCAACATCAAGCTGACACGATGCAACATAACAGAAGATGTTGAAACTGACGAATATCCCAAGTCACTCTATCTTTAGTCACTTAGCTATATAAAAACCTGTATAAAGGGGTTAACCATTGGTACTACTATAGGACAATAAACGACGGTTGTTAATAACCTTGAATATAGGCCAGTGTACGAGAATATGATGAAATTTAAACAGAGGATGTATGACTGTCTTTCTCAAAACTGGCATCTCTCCATAGAGCTCTCATCTAAATGCAATTATTACTCACAGTACAAATCTCTCCTTAATGTAGAAAAATACTTATTATCATGTGAAATATCTGCTTATCATAAAAGATTAATATGCATGTTCAGGTGTAACAACTTTAAACTTGCAGTTGAAACTGGAAGACATTCTAAAATCCCATATGAAAAACGTGTGTGCGTGTATTGCCACTCCAAAGGTTTAACTCTAATTGAGGATGAGTATCATATATTGTCAATCTGTGACAGATACCGAGCTGCAAGAAGTGAATGCTTTGCTGAAAGTGAAATCAACTTTACCACATTTCAACAGTTTTTAAACCTTATGTCAACAAACTCCACAAGAACTTTAAAACACATTGGACTATTCCTATCTAAAGTTATGAATATACGTAACTCATCACTGTTCTAACGTATTCTAAAACTATTTGTCTTAACATAACACCATAGTATATAAGCATCTATGATCTACATTATGTCAACATGTATTATGGGCTGGAGGCCTGCTTACTGAATAAATCTGTCTGTCTGTCTGTCTGTCTGTACGAGAATAGTCTATTATCACGAACGTTGGAGACAAAACGAGGATGGTCTATAAGCTTGAAGATTGGGCAATAAACGAGGATGGTTTATAAGCATGAAGACTACACAATAAACGAGGATGGTCTATAAGCATGAAGATTGGACAATAAACGAGGATGGTCTATAAGCATGAAGACTACACAATAAACGAGGATGGTCTATACGCATGAAGATTGGACAATAAACGAGGATGGTCTATAAGCATGAAGACTACACAATAAACGAGGATGGTCTATCACCTTGAAGATTTGAAAATAAACGAGGATGGTTTATAAGCTTGAAGACTACACAATAAACGAGGATGGTCTATAAGCATGGAGATTGGACAATAACCGAGGATGGCCTATAAGCTTGAAGGCTACATAATATACGAGGATGGTTTATAAGCTTGAAGATTGGACAAAAAACGTGGATGACCTATAAGCTTGAAGATAGGACAATAAACGAGGATGGTTTTTAAGCATGAAGATTGGACAATAATCGTGGATGGTCTATAAGCATCATCATTGGACAATAAACGAAGATGGTCTATAAGCATGAAGATTGGACAATAAACGAGGATGGTCTATAAGCATGAAGATTGGACAATAAACGAGGATGGTCTATAAGCTTGAAGATTGGAATATAAACGAGGATGGTCTATAAGCATGAAGATTGGACAATAAACGAGGATGGTCTATAAGCATGAAGATTACACAATAAACGAGGATGGCCTATAAGCTTGAAGATTTGACAATAAACGAGGATGGTTTATAAGCTTGAAGACTATACAATAAACTAGGATGGTCTATAAGCATGAAGATTGGACAATAAACGAGGATGGTCTATAAGCATAAAGACTACACAATAAACGAGGATGGTCTAAAAGGTTGAAGATTGGACAATAAACGAGGATGGTCTATAAGCTTGAAGACTACACAATAAACGAGGATGGTCTATAAGCTTGAAGATTGCACAATAAACGAGGATGGTCTATAAGCATGAAGATTGGACAATAAATGAGGATGGTCTATAAGCTTGAACATTGGACAATAAACGAGCTTGGTCTATAAGCATGAAGATTGGACAATAAATGAGGATGGTCTATAAGCATGAAGATTGGACAATAAACGAGGATGGTCTATAAGCATGAAGATTGGACAAGAAACGAGGATGGTCTATAAGCATGAAGATTGGACAATAAACGAGGATGGTCTATAAGCATGAAGACTACACAATAAACGAGGATGGTCTATACGCATGAAGATTGGACAATAAACGAGGATGGTCTATAAGCATGAAGACTACACAATAAACGAGGATGGTCTATAAGGTTGAAGATTTGACAATAAACGAGGATGGTTTATAAGCTTGAAGACTACACAATAAACGAGGATGGTCTATAAGCTTGAAGATTTGACAATAAACGAGGATGGTTTATAAGCTTGAAGATTGGACAAAAAACGTGGATGACCTATAAGCTTGAAGATAGGACAATAAACGAGGATGGTTTTTAAGCATGAAGATTGGACAATAAACGAGGATGGTCTATAAGCATGATGATTGGACAATAAACGAGGATGGTCTATAAGCATGAAGATTGGACAAAAAACGTGGATGGTCTATTAGCTTGAAGACTACACAATAAACAAAGATGGCCTATAAGCTTGAAGGCTACACAATAAACGAGGATGGTCTATAAGCTTGAAGATTGGACAAAAAACGAGGATTGTCTATAAGCATGAGGACTGGACAATAAACGAGGATGGTCTATAAGCATGAAGATTGGGCAATAAACGAAGATGGTTTATAAGCATGAAAATTGGACATTAAATGAGGATGGTCTATAAGCATGAAGAGTACACAATAAACGAAGATGGTCTATAAGCATGAAGATTGGACAATAAACGAGGATGGTCTATAAGTATGAAGAGTACACAATAAACGAGGATGGTCTATAAGCATGAAGACTACACAATAAACGAGGATGGTCTATAAGCTTGAAGACTGGACAATAAACGAGGATGGTCTATAAGCTTGAAGACTACACAATAAATGAGGATGGTCTATAAGCTTTAAGATTGGGCAATAAACGTGGATGATCTATAAGCATGAAGATTGGACAATAAACGAGGATGGTCTATAAGCATGAAGATTGGACAGTAAACGAAGATGGTCTATAAGCTTGAAGACTACACAATAAACGAGGATCATCTATAAGCATGAAGATTGGACAATAAACGAGGATGGTCTATAAGCATGAAGATTGGGCAATAAACGAGGATGGTCTATAAGCTTGAAGATTGGGCAATAAACGAGGATGGTCTATAAGCTTGAAGGCTACATAATATACGAGGATGGTCTATAAGCATGAAGACTGAACAATAAACGAGGATGGTCTATAAGCTTGAAGGCTACATAATATACGAGGATGGTTTATAAGCTTGAAGATTGAACAAAAAACGTGGATGACCTATAAGCTTGAAGATTGGACAAGAAACGAGGATGGTTTTTAAGCATGAAGATTGGACAATAAACGAGGATGGTCTATAAGCATGAAGATTGGACAATAAACAAGGATGGTCTATAAGCATGATGATGGGACAATAAACGAAGATGGTCTATAAGCATGAAGATTGGACAATAAACGAGGATGGTCTATAAGCATGAAGATTGAACAAAAAACGTGGATGGTTTATAAGCTTGAAGACTACACAATAAAGGAGGATCATCTATAAGCTTGAAGACTACACAATAAACGAGGATGGCCTATAAGCTTGAAGGCTGCACAATAAACGTGGATGGTCTATAAGCTTGAAGATTGGACAAAAAACGAGGATTGTCTATAAGCATGAAGATTGGACAATAAACGAGGATGGTCTATAAGCATGAAGACTACACAATAAACGAGGATGGTCTATACGCATGAAGATTGGACAATAAACGAGGATGGTCTATAAGCTTGAAGACTACACAATAAATGAGGATGATCTATAAGCTTGAAGATTTGACAAAAAACGTGGATGACCTATAAGCTTGAAGATTTGACAATAAACGAGGATGGTCTATAGGGATGGAGATTGGAAATAAACGAGGATGGTCTATAAGTATGAAGATTGGACAATAAACCAGGATGATCTATAAGCTTGAAGATTGGACAATAAACGAGGATGGTCTATAAGCATGAAGATTGGACAAGAAACGAGGATGGTCTATAAGCTTGAAGATTGGGCAATAAACGAGGATGGTTTATAAGCATGAAGACTACACAATAAACGAGGATGGTCTATAAGCATGAAGATTGGACAATAAACGAGGATGGTCTATAAGCATGAAGACTACACAATAAACGAGGATGGTCTATACGCATGAAGATTGGACAATAAACGAGGATGGTCTATAAGCATGAAGACTACACAATAAACGAGGATGGTCTATCACCTTGAAGATTTGAAAATAAACGAGGATGGTTTATAAGCTTGAAGACTACACAATAAACGAGGATGGTCTATAAGCATGGAGATTGGACAATAACCGAGGATGGCCTATAAGCTTGAAGGCTACATAATATACGAGGATGGTTTATAAGCTTGAAGATTGGACAAAAAACGTGGATGACCTATAAGCTTGAAGATAGGACAATAAACGAGGATGGTTTTTAAGCATGAAGATTGGACAATAATCGTGGATGGTC